CCTTCGGTATTTTCGCCAAGGGTTGCTGAACATGCCGAAAGTATAGACTTGTGAACCCCAACTGCTCCTCTTTCTTTTGGCTCTCCCGCGCCGAGAAAGATATTGTTTTCTTTTCCGTCTCTAGATATGGCCTTAGCCATTAAATATATCTTATCTATCTGCGTTCTATCAACCGATCCGTCACATCTTAAGGAGATGGCCAACGAGTTTGACATCTTTGAAGCAAGTGAATTTCTATCTATCTTTACAATGCATTTGAGGAATTCGCTGTGTGCGTTTGGTGAAAGGTATTGGAGATCATTAGGCATGTCGTTTATACTCCAATAATCAAAAGAAAACGCATTTGCTATTCGGCTTACAACCACACGTGAAGGGAAAGAATTGGCAGACAAAGTAAGTCTCTTAGCACCATGGTAAACGTGAAAAAATAAGCTAGCAACTTTCGCAGCCAATTGTGCATCTGCGATCGATAATGCCCTTCCAATTGGTGTCAATGACGTCATATGAAGCTTTTCCGGTCCTTTCAAAGACAACAATCTCTTTGTCTTTTTTGCTTCGCGATGAATTTCGCTGTTCAGATGGTCGGAAACGACGCTTTTACGGTATATAGTCCCCGGTCCTTGAGCAATCGCTGGAAGTTTAGCTTTCCTGCTGAAAATCTTGACGACATTGGGGTTCGAAAAGCATGTCTTACAACGCACATAGTGGCGACCATTCTTGTGTAAGTGTTTCAGATTATCCTCTTTTGGCTCTTTAGTGTTTTTCTCTGATGTCTTTGCAGTTTTACTTGGTCCTTGATCCTCATTATTCATTATTATTAAATGTTAAGTTTATATTCGCGTCGGATGTTTTTTCAATGTTGAAAAAGTTAAAAAGGCGCGAACAATTCTGCGCCTTTGTATTTACGTGTCAGCAGCTTACCACGGGAATCCTGTCTAATCCAATCTAATCACAACCAGCTGTACACATATATCCTATTTATACTTGTAATATCCCATTGATTCCCTCTAAAACAAACATGGCGGTGAAAAGTTGCTCAAGAAAATTAATACAGGATTACAAATCCGAAATATTTAATAAAGCGAACGTAGAATATGTGTATCGGCGTAAAACGAATGGAATTTGAAACAGTGGTGTTCACTGGAATTCAGAAATAACGCTATATTTCCTGCTTGATCGGATAAGGTAGCTGGTGAATTTTTATAGAATTATAGTATAAATATATTTATTTGTTGACATCGCAATCATTGAGGATATTTTATGCGAAATTATTTCTTCATTCTTGATTCTTCGGCGCCTCGCATTCTTGATTTATTGGGTTATAAATACTTGTCTTAAGTTGAGTGAACTGACTATTATATAGTTTTATGTACTTTATCTACCATTATTAACAAAAACTAATTAAATTACTGCATTTGTCAATAACTGGCATTTATTTTGTTTATTATATTTTAATAACTTTCCATCAATGATTTATAATAACAAGTTTACAAATTTAAGCTGCCAGTTGTATTGTTACCCAAGATCCGACATTATTGACCTTGTTGAAACCATTGCCATTGGGTATACCGCAAAGATAAAATGTGCAGTTCTACATTTTTCTTAAAAAAAACCCTGTCTGACACCTCAATGAACAAGTCTATCGAAATAGTCAAATGTGCAAACGTTTTAATTAAACATTTTGAGTGAGATATTGCGGAATTAATGTTATACAAGGTTCAGAAATTCTAACCCTCCTTTGTTGATATCTGTAACAAAGGAGGGTCAGAATTTCTGAACCTTGATATAATAATGATCCCGCAATATCTCACTCAAAATGTAAAGCCAAAACTAAAGCCTGCTGCCAAAATGGAAAGCTTTAACACGAAAGGTTCAGAATTTCTGACACGCCAATGAACAAGTGCAAAGAAAAAGTAAAATACGCGAACGTTTATATATCAGTAACAAAGTAGGGTCAGAATTTCTGAACCTTGTATATAACAGAATTCCGCAATATCTCACTCAAAATGCAAAGCTTTAACATGAAAGGTTCAAAATTTCTGACACCCCAATGAACAAGTGTATCAATATAGTCAAATATGCAAGCGTTTATATCTGCATGTAACAAAGGAGGGTCAGATTTTCTGCCGGAAACTTGTATAATAATAATTCCGCAATATCTCACTCAAAATGCAAAGCTTTAATATGAAAGGTTCAGAATTTCTGACACCCCAATGAACAAGTCTATCGAAATATTCAAATATGCAAACGTTTATATCTGTAACAAAGGAGGGTCAGAATTTCTAAATCTTGTATAATAATAATTCCGCAATGTAAATGAACATTTATAAATAAAAGGTTATATTACTGTAAATATAAAACTTATTTAAGAGTTATACAGTACAACATCAGAGTTCCTGGCACAACTTTGAAATAAAATTAATTTAAATTAGACAGTTCACTTACGAAAACAGCTTTCCTACAAAAATACTGAACACGTTAATTTACTTAGCTTTCCTACAAAAATATTGAACACGTTAATTTAAGAAACTTATAACTATACTAAAAAGAAGCAGTACATGTTTTTAGCAAAACTGATGAACAACATTCGACAAAGTCAAATGCATAAATGGTCAAAACAAACTTGTCCCATACTTCATGACGTCCCGCACTAAATCAATTCTTATCATTTCCTTAATTTAAAGGAAAATTGACAAAAAAATGCTTTACAACTTATTTGAAACGACTTTCCAAGCTATTATACATCGTATTTCAATATTTGCTCTTTCCACACTTAAGATCTAGAGTTGGGATATTTTTGAGATCAGTGGACCATAGTCACGCTCCGTGATTATTGATGAACTGTACACATCGCAAATGACTTCCTTTCTCCTGGAGTAAATACCCGAAACTGCATTTCACGCCAGGAAATGGGGAATATACGAATTAGAGATTGAAAATAGGAAAATAAAAATCCGGATCTTTACTCGGGGAATATACGAATTAGAAATTGAAAACAGGAAAACAAAATTCCGGTCTTGTTTCATTGACAAATTTCATTTTTCAGTTTCATGGAGGAAAACGAACACAACACAATAAAGATATATCGACGGGAGATTAATGCGCACAGTATACGAGGTTTCTATTTCGTGAAAGAATATATCAGCTATTTTACTTTTGCTGCAGTGATTTAGTTTTAAAGTTATGGGATCGCGGCTCTGCCAACGATACTGTAGAAATTACTAGTTGGTAGTGAAATATTAATTGGATATTCAGATAAAAGACACACAAAATACAATAGACATGGACCAAATTGGATTCGCAACTTCACATCCAGCCATCCAAGCGAGTTAGAAAAAATACGGTGCTGAAGACAAAATACTCATTTAAAAGTAGGGTAAAATTCGGTTCGCGAACTAATAGTTTTTGAACAGTCCTTTTTATGCTCAAGGTAATATGTTTTGCTGAAACAATTGCACTTGCTCCATCACAATTTAAAAACTGTACTTAAATCCGTTTTGAAGTCCAGGCCTACACTCCCTACAGTAGAGTGGTAACAGTAGCCATGATTCACGGAACCGGTTCGTTAGGTTGGTATCGTCATGTGTGTTACCCACTCTAATCTTCAACTTACTTCGTAATCGTCTTCTTCTTACGCTAAATTTTTATTGAGCTATCATTACGCCCCCTCGATACTAGCTCTTCGTAGTCTTCTAACACGGCTCTGATAATAACTGGCTTTCTTCCACAGGCCCCAGGGAAAGGAAAGAAGTAAGTGTCCTTCTAATAAATTTTCCATTTGTGGTTTTCTTTACCTAGTTACCAGAAAAAAAGACAGGAGACAGGAGAATCCAAGCCCAAACCTGAATTTGATCATGATCTGTTATCAGGTATAGAAGATCAACTGACAGGCAAAGAGAAAAAAGGCCACTATGGAAAAATGATTTCTTACATCCTAAGTACCGTGAAAGCTGGTTGCTCAATAACGAAAGTATTTGATGGTTTAACAGCCCTTAAAAAGATGAAGGACCATGTTGGTAAGGTGGAAACTCTACTAGACAACCTGATCAAAACGTCCCATTCCAAGGAGGACATTATAAAAGAAGCTCAAAATTTCCATGCCAAAAATTGCACAGGTGTGATGGATAACCTCGATTTTGGTCCTCACATCGATCTTATGGAACTGAACACAGCCAGCGCTGAAAGTGAGGCAGAAAAAATTAAGACGCCGATTCTCAACGTCTTCAAAGATAAACAACGAGAAGCAAGCGATAACCTGATCATAAATATGGCGAAAGCTAACGCCGTTGCGACAACAGTTCAATTTGTGAAGATTTACTTCGCGTGGAAGACAATTTCGGCAGCTTCAAATGTTATTGAAGATAAGAATAAATTTGTGCAGATAAATAAGAATTTGCAAAAGATGGAAACCTTCGCCTTGTGCCTGTCCAGAAAAACAGGTTACTGTCAATACTTTCCCAATGACTAAGTGCTATGATTGCGACGTCGGTGTCAGGACTCTTAATGGTAACACTGGAATGGTCTAAGCTGGCATGCGCAGCATGTAAGATGAGTCTGGTATCAGCCTCTTCATGGTCACTCTCCAAAACTCGGCACTCTTGAACTTCACTGCGTCCATGCTGAGTCCATGACAACTTGTGACAAAACTTCCCATGAGCTACATAAATCGTGATGTCGGTTGTAAGTTGTGCAGAAGTCCAAGACTGGAAAAAAAATTCCAGCAGGGATTCCTTGTTCTTTCAATCGGATAAAAATTTCTTAAACTGTCGGGGAGTTTTCTGCTCTGGACCATATATCGTAATTACTTCAGCCCCTTTGCCTGCTCTTCTCTCTCTTTCCATGTCTTTGATGCTGCCTTGTGGATATGTGTCGCCAAAGAAATCTAATCTGGAACACCCATTTGTGCTCCCCATATTAACAATTTGTGTCAAAACAAGATCAGACAATTTTCCAAAGGTATCAGGAATGTCTCGAAGTGACTGAATATGGGCCATAGCATCCAACATTATTGCTCCTTGCGGTATCTTTGTCACTTGGACATCGGTACACTTTTCCTCCAATATTCTCATTAATGCAGATTTGTCAGTCTTAGCCATTGTACCATCAACATTCGAAAGGGGAAATGAAACGCTACTTAGTGAGTACTGAAACACTTCACGTAAGTCCAAGTTTCTCTTCTGCCCTACCACTAGAAGACGAGCAAAAAACACCTTACTGTCCTTGATAATTTCTTTGCTAGTTTTCTTCTTACTTGTGCAATTATCAGAAAATGTTTTTAGTTTTTGTTGTTTGATTGGGTCGTGAAAATCGGTTTGTGTGGCATTTGATCCTACAAGAAGACGTTCTTTGATGAATTCCATAGCAGCAGATTCACCCTTTGCCTCTGCTTTAAGAAGGTCATCCTTTACAGTGTCAATTGCAACTGCACCAGAACTGATAGCAACAAGCTCCCCTGTGGTATTTTCAAAGGGATTAATCATGCTCTTAACCGTGGAAATTACTGACATTATTGATTCTTCAAGCTTTCGGATACGCGTTTGGTCAAGTTCTTTGGAAGCTCGCTCCACCTTATGGTAGCCTGCCATCACTTCACATTCTCTAGATATAGCTGCTCTTTCGGGCTGCGCTAAAATCCACCTCTGAACTGCACCTCGATTAAGGGTAATACCTTTAATTCCTCCAGGTGTTTTGCAATCTCTGTTCAGGGTTTCTTCAATGGATTGGTCACATGCGATTGATGCAAAAGCATGATTACTGTGCCTTTGTACTGTCCATGCACCGACTTGACTCAATTCGTGATACACACTTGGATGCGACTCAGGCAAGTTAACCATCTCCATCCAGTATGCTGGTAGACACCTAGAATAGTTTGTCCTATCATAGGCGAAATACCATGGCATCATCAAACGAAGCACAGCAACATGGACACTCCAATCCGATTCCCTCGTAGCACGCACAAAAACTAGAAGAAGGGACATCATATCTAAAAATGAACTCCATAATTCGAATGTAGGATCTTCTTTTCTCATCATGAGGCAAAAATGCTGGTATTTATCGAAAAGACCAACGAACTCTTGTGATTCTGGGTATTCGTCTTTTACTGTTATAGCAGAATCGAAATACTCCAATTCTTCATCACTTAGACTATCCAAAAAGGAAGAAAAGCGAAGCCTCTCCATTGCCTCATACATCACCTTCATTGTATTAATGCTGCGATTGTAATGGTGTCCACTCAAAACACCATTAATAGAGCCTTCGCAACAAGACCTGACTCAATAGCAATGTCTCTTAGGCCTGCGTCTCCAAATCGCTTTCCGATGACAGACAGGAATGACATTATAACATGGAATTCGCCCAATCTGACCACAAAACGTTCCTTGTAAATATCATTTGCCCAGCGAATTTGTTGTACCTTGGCGTAAATGGCTAGATCGAAAACCATGACGATTTGATGAACTTGCATTCTCTCTGCCATTGCTAAGCTCCGAGTCATTATTTCCTTGACTGTGCTCATCTCAGTAGGCGAAGCTTCAATGACAGGAAGGTAATATATCGCAGATTTATCCAATGTTCCTTTCGAAAATTGTTGCCTTACGTTAAATCCAGTCCATCCTGGTATTCGATTATCGTTGCGCCTTGACAGTATGTACATGAAATCAGTTTGCTTGGCGCTTTCAATTAAAGGCTCCCACTCATCGATACCAATCTGTTCAACATCTGTATCGAACTGAGGCCCTTGGCGTATCACACAGTGGTACTCAGGCAAAGGAATAATTTCAGGTGTTAAAGAACGCATGCCTTTCTTTACAGTCGGTAATTCAGGATGAATGACAGGCGAAATTTCCTTCTGCACCATAATACCATTTGTGTGATGAGTTGTTCCATGACCTGTTGGCGTTTCTTCTTGAAAATCTATATTATCCCAAATCATGGTGAGAAGCTTGCCTGTAGCAAATCCTTTAGGTATCTGTTCACTCGATTCCAAACGGAGAAAGGCCAAGCTTGTTTCATACATCCGAATGGTATCCGGAGATGCACAGTGTCCATATTGATGTATGACGTGGAGTAACTGAGACGAACCAGTGAGATGTCTTATGGTCAAACCTAGTGAAAGAGACTTGGGAGTCTGTTTTTTACCTTTTGAGGCAAGGTAGATAATGTCTTGACCGATAGAAAGAATCTTATTACGAGTATCATCGTCAACATCAGCATAAAATGTCAAAGAAGGTTCCTCGGTTGCACCAATGCACACAGCGATCAAGTTGAACAGTTGGTATGGAACAAACTTTTCGACACCTTCGTTTCGAATTTCGTTGGCTGTTGGAGGCCATTTTGATGTCATCCTTGGAGCATCTTTTATGATATTTTTAAGCATCAGACCTGCAAATTTGAGATTCTTGATTTAGTATTCTATAATTCGCAGTATTCAAAAACTTGTTTTTAAAGTGTTTAATATGAAAAATTTCAACATTTCTCTTTGGTTCAACACTTAATAGCAACAGTTTAATGTTTACATTCGTTTTACAAATTAGCCATTCATTATCAGACCGGAACGGAAAGTCCTCTTCCCACATCAAAACTACCAACCTGCAACATAAAGGAATCTATCAACATGTTGGTCTAATAAAGTTGAAGTGCAGCTCGACTCCCCAAGAAATACTTCATCATAGGTTTCCGGTCCAGAGTTATTATTTGAAGAACTTTCTGATAAATCAAGTGAGTCGGCAACAACATTTCCTACTGATACCGCTGAACAGTATACTATTTCACTTTCATTTTTTCTAGCTGGCTTATGAAGCACAAGTTGGGGATAATCTTTCTGAAGTCGAAGTTTCAATTTATCATTCCTATAAAGAAATTAAATAAAGCTGGCTTAATAATACCAGACTTGATTTATTAATACCGGTATTATATTATGCAATTTATATTATTTGATTATTATGTACTGTATGTATTAAAAATATTTAAAAGGAACAGGAACTAGATTATAATTTAACAACCTTATTCCCACAGGTTCGACGCCTTCAACATTTTGGATTGAGGTAATCACAAGTTGAGTCAGTCTTGACAGTCGCAGTATTTCCTGATTGACCAATAATCGTTGATGAACTACTGATTCACAAAATTTAAGGTAGCCATTCTTGTGAATTTCAAACTTGTCCTTCCGGGTATTCCTGTATTTTATACATAATATTTTAATAATTTCAAATTATATTTGCACTATTACCATTTTGGGAGAAAGTAAAAACTTTACAATTTACTGCATTGAAGAGTTATGAACAATACCAGAGGGCAAAAAAGAAACTAAATTTTAAGAACATAGCTGGCGCATTTTCAAGAGATTTATATTGTAAGGAGTTGATAGTTTGCATATGGGATACAATAATGTGTTTATGAATATCACATTGAAAAGTTTAAATATAAAATCAACTTACTTTCCATCAGAAAAGTGTCTGCTGCGTAAAAACCTGGTGTACTTCTTGTAACAGCTTGGATGATATCGAACTTCAATAGCTGCACAGTCCTTATCTCTTATGTGGACAAGAATCTTCTCATCATTTTTGTAGGTTGCAGCACTACGAAGATTTCCTTTTAACATTAAAAATGTTAAGAATTATAGCAAACTGGCAATGAAATATACCAACCAAGCGCTCTTCAAAATATTCAAAATGAACAGTTGCCCATTGGAAAAAAATTTACATTGTTTTACTATGCAGTTACCAGCACATTTTAAAACCGGCGAACCGCTTTCATTTAGACCTAATGTGTCATCCATTAAATTAAAGATCAGCCATAAAGTATCCTGAGATTAGATATGCTGTTAACTAAAATAATAGGCAAGCAACATTATATTAGCCGGGAGAGGGGTTCATTTATTTAAGCCCCGTTTGAGAGAGATGTATCTATTTCACGCATTTTTGGAGAGCAAATGTGTAGGAGTACTATGATTCAATATGTTTATTAACAATTACTGAATACAAAATACACTTTACAATGTATTTTTCATTATTAATTCTTTCAACAGGGCAACATTGTTAAAATATAATTATTAAATGTTATTCCATGATTAAGCTAGGATAGCTATTATTTTAAATTGATTACCACACATGTTCCTCTGCTGTGAAAGAGATGGGGGAGGGTTTAAATGGAGGAGGCTTGATATGGCATATGCATACTTTGAAAGCTGTGATATTTCAAAGGAGGTTTGCAATATGAAATTTACAGTAAGATATCAAATCTCACTATGTAGAGTATTAAAGCACTTCATATAAACATATGCATAAATATATTTAGTAGTTTTGCACAAGTGAATATAACAAATCCAAATCCTAAAAGTAGATCATGTGCACTCTTATATAAAATCACAAATGACCTACCAGCATCTTCAGTCTCTGCTTTACTAAGTCGATCTCGAATGCGTTTTCTACTAATTGGATCTTGAACAAATTTGTCAGGTTCATCACAAATAATACATTTTACAGGAAGTACTGGGTTAGAACTAACTGGTCCTCGCGATCGGCGAGCTCTTTTTTCAACTAGTTCGCATTCTTGGCTTTGTTGCTCATTTTTATCCTTCGCCTTCCTCTTTTTCGCAGCACATATCCTCTTTCCATCAATATATCGTCGATAACAAGTTGGATGAAAGCCAAATCCTGGATGAGCTTCTACGAGCGAACTGAATGAAAGATCCAACAAATGTTCGATGAGATTTGCCATGTCCTTTTCTGGGCCCATCAACTCTAGCCATTCCTTTGAACATTGTACAGTTTTTATCCATCTTAACTCTGTAATTTGTTGTGCATTCTCGTTTTTTACATGATTTAGGTGAAAAAAACACCTAAATTTGGCAGCCATGTTTATACGCAACTTCCACTTTTTGGAAATTTTCCTTCCCGAAAATCGAAATTATTAACAGCTGGGAAATTTGTTGCGCATGCGCCAAATTTCCATTGAAACTTGAAGATTTCCCCGAAGAAATATTACGAGATGTTCGTGGTTGTATATTTTTGAAAGCCTGTTTAATCTTTATACTTTTTTTTGCTTGAGACAAAGACAAAGTAAAATGTACTCTACGTTTCCAGTGTATAGAATATCTCGTTTGAACAGCAATAGAATATTATAATCTTGACACAAACAAGAAGATATTTGACACGCTAAATCTGTAGTCATGCTTGACTGAGGTATAAAAGCCAATCGTCGCGAGCTTGACAGCCTTGTCAAACGCAAAACAAGTACAAATTTGAGTTCAAACCGAAAGAAGTTCAATGTTAATACAACTAACATATATTCTATACAAATACGGATGGTTTAAAATGTTTTCAATTGAATTTTCAAAGCTTTTATCTATCGCTATGATAATCAAACTGTGAACTTGATGCCGTAGTTTTGTTGACGCTTGCGAATGCAAAATAACTTCCCGTAAACAGAGCATTTCTACACAAAACTCTCGCTTAGTCTTCTGATGCACTTGTACGTTCGGTTCTACTAGTTAAACAAGGAAAATATTCAAGAAACACTGGTAAATTATCGTTGTCAAAAAAACATTTCAGTGCTGAGGCAGTACCACTGATCTAGCAGTACAAGGTCTCAAGGGCAAGGTCAAGTTGTCGATTTCATTACACTTACAGTACTTCGGAATGTTTTAGAACTCTTGCTTCATACAAGAGCAGTAAACGCACGCATTTCAAAGCGAAATTAGACCCAAAGGGGCAATTTTTCAACAAAATTCATTGTTAAATTATGTTTCCTATGTGCCTTGGGAGCAAAAAAATATGATTTAAAATTTGGAGGAATCGGTAAATTTTTTTGCAATTTGGCCTGGTATTGCACCCTACCTATGTAATGACTGTGCTGTAAAAGTAATCAAATATACTATTTTGAATTTCCCTTCATTGAAAGGATCTACTATTGTGGACTAAACTATATTTTAATCAGCATACAAGACTGCAAACAACAGCCAAGAATTAGCTGGGTAGTTTGCAAACTTTAAAAATAATTAGACCTCAAACTTTGATCCCAAAAAGTAAACAAATGGCCAATACTGCGAACATAATCCAAGTTTTGACCACTAGGGGCAATTTTTAGATGTAAAAAAACTTATTTAAATTAGATATCAAACAAAGGCAAAACAAAATTTGGTATTAACTTTTTGGAGGAAACGTCAAGGTTTTTTGCTATCCGCGCACGCTTCTACACCCCCTCTCCCAGGACCTTCTCTATCAGAAAACAGTTTTCTGCAGAAACTATGCTTTTTTTATCGGGAAAATTTTTTACTTTTCTCAAAAAAATACTTTAGAAACACGGAAACCTTAAATATTTAAATAATTTTCATACCTTTTTGGGATTGCAAATAGCAAAATTGGATTCATTATTAGGGGTGCACCGGATTTGGAATTTTCAAATCCGGCCGGAACCGGATTTACCGGATTTGGACAAAAATTCCGGCCGGAATTCCGGCCGGATTTGCCGGATTTAAAATAAACCGGTAATGGGGACAATTGTGGATAAATCAGTACTCAAAATGGCGGTTTATGTTTTTTACTATTTTTAGTTAGTGTCAGTTTAGATTTTTGACTGTGTTTAAACCCTTTTTGAATTTTTTTTTAATAACTTAATATTTTATAATAATATAAGTGTTTTTTAAACTTTAAAACTGCCAAATTGATGGTTTATCCCATTCTTGGTGAATTTTTTAAGGTGAAAACAGCAATTTAAATCCGGCCGGATTTTCTCCAAATCCGGCCGGATACCGGATGCCGGAAAATTTGTTAAATCCGGCCGGAATTCCGGCCGGATTTGAAATCCGGTGCACCCCTATTCATTATCACACTTTTTAAAATATATGTGACAAAGTTGCTTCGAAATCACTATCACGCAGTAGCATGTTTATTTACCCTCATCCTTTTGACTGAATAAAGTTTATCTTTTTGAAAAGCTATTTGTTTATAGCTCTTGGTTAGTAGTTTACGTTTATGTCGATTTTGACACCCATGAGGCCAACAAGTTATGGTAATCCGCGAATGAAAACTGATATTCGAAAAGCACAAAAGCCAACTCCTAGCTATGTAACTTTATCGCCTGAATTTTGAATCAATCCACAATTAAATTTCTAGTAATGTAGATGCTTTCCATACTTGAGATGTTAGTGAAGTTTTTCCAACAATTTAATTTCCTTGATCGCCGTCTTAACAATGCAAAATCATCAGTTGAAATTTCACTCGTGTTGTTTTTTGAAATTTTCGAATTATTTGTAAAGTATCGCGTGCGCCAGCAATTTCTCCGCACAGCGACAACAAATTTCCCAGCTGTTGGCAAAAGTATTTTTGTAGTTAAAACTTGCGTTTGTTAGGTATGAATAACTTTTCATAAGAAAAGCCGCTGAGATATATTGCGGGCGCATGTCCTGAATTTCTGGCCATGAAGTCAAAACAAACATGCCTGATCGAACCAGGCATCGAATAAAAATGAAAATATGCGGGGGGGGGAGGACCTGCATCACACATAGATCAGGGGCGCCATAGCCGTTTCACCGCCCGTGTTTTACAGCGCCCTGAAGCATGCGAGAACAACCACGCAATCATCCAGCTGACGCAAGATGAACATTTATAATAAACCGTCATGAAAATGGTTTCCGTAGAGGAAATCAAAACGTTAGACAAAATAATTTAAAAAACATTTTGTATATAAATAATCTAGAAGAACAATGAAAAAATTATCTATCTTTCTATCTATCTATATCAATATCTGGCTTAAATAAGATAAAAAATGTAATAATAAGGTTAAAAAATAGTGCTGTTATAGAGGGGAGTTGCAAGCGCTAGTTTCAGCAATACATTAAGTTGTAATTTCCTCTTGGCAAGTGAGATGAAACCCTCCATAATCAGCGACATTTAGATTTCAGATTTTTCGTTTGAAACATCAAACTGCAAACTGGAATGAACCTCGTGATTATATGTCTGGCATGCAATTGCGTTTGCCATATATTTACGCATTTTGACGGCCGCATGCATGGGGCGCGAATCGTGCGACTTTTCCCGTAAAAGCCGATTTACGTGCTTTTCAACTTTTTCCGGCTAAAACTGTCGGATACAACCTGCTTATATACAACTTGAATTGTACTGTGTAAATCAAGCACATAACTCTCCTATACGTTGTCGTATAGTGTAAATCGCTGTCTTGAGGCATTTCCCTCAAGCGTTTCAATTTCTTTATTAAAAGTGATTTATCTCACGTTTCAGTGATTTAGTTGATTTGTTTATATAACCATAATTTTTTTAATTTGCTATACTTAAAGATTATTAAGTTTTTCAAATGCCTTTTATGCGCCGAAATTCAAGTGCTACTTGTGCGCTTCGTGTTTTACATGATGATGCATGCATGCATGCATGCATGCATGCATGCATGCATGCATGCAGGGCCGCCATATTTTTGCGTTTTGCATTATTTATGTTTTAATTTGAGTGTGTTATTCCGCACAGACATGATATTTTAAAAACTAGATATGTATCCAAATTAAATAAGTTTGAAAACCATTAGAAACGTGCCGCAAAATTATTTATAAACTCGAAAGTACACCTGCCATTGCTTCTACACACATTGATGCGTAACATCGAAAACTAAACCAAAATATGCGTTAAACGACAAACTGCAAACAACAAACTGCGACTCGCGATTTAACTTCGAAGGAAAAATCTAATAAGGCCCCGTTCACATGAAATCGGGACAAAGACGAACCGGGACGATTTCATTTCGGTCATATTATATTAAAGGGTTATTAACCGAGAGCGAGGTCTGTACGGGAAAGCAGCGCCGGCGGAACATATTTTATTTTGGGGGAGGGCTAAATTTTTTTCGTGATTAAAATTTTCTCTTCCTACCCCCCGTCGCCACTTTTTTTCGGACATAAACCAAAAAATTTTTCCGGACATATACAAAAAAGGGGTGAAAAAGTTTTTTCCGGACATATAACAGAAAAAAATTCATTTCCGGACATATAACAAAAAAATTTTCCAGACATACATTTTTTAAACAAAATATTGCAAATTTTCCCCTTATACCTAAATTTTCCAAAAATACCCTAAATTTTTCCTTAATTATCAAAATTTTTCCAGAAAAAACAAAATTTCTTTTTTGGGGGGGGGGGCTAAGCCTCCCCCCACTTTTACTTGGGGAGGGGGGGGGCTAAAGCCCTCCTAGCCCCCCTGTTCCGCCGCCACTGCGGGAAAGTATTTGCCTGAGGTTTTCGTACAGACTGATCGAGCGACGAAAATGAGGTCTGTGCAGATAAAACGAAGGCAAATACTTTCCCGTACAGACCGAGCAAAACGAGGTTAATAAACCGTTTAGTACTCATGCCTCCTTAAACACATTTTCTGATTTTCATATTTGTTTGAGCGCTATAAAGGTATTTTTGAGCTATGTTTTATTTGCTAGTTTTCTTCGTTTAGATATGGTTTCGTCACCGAATATTGTTAACACGGAAAAGCATGTTTAACAATCGCTTTAGAACTACTTTTTCGGTAACCCGCCCACCCCCAGAAAAAATGCTTATAAACCCAGTTTATATGATATTTGTTTAGAATATGGTTTAAAGACGTTAAATTCATCTTTATTTATTTTTTGAAACAAGATTAAAACAAATCAAAAAATTTTCCCGCCAAAACTTACGGTTTCCAGTAAGAGTTCAAGCGGCTTGTTTTCTTAGCTTTTTCGATGAAATTTGTGTTCGTACAAGTACTTATTAATATTTCCAAGACTTCTTATTCTTAAAAATGATCCAAGGATACTTTTTCTTCACATAACGTCCTTATAAACGTGTAAAAACGTTTCAAATTCGAGCCTGTCAAATTGACATA